CATCGGCATCATCATCATCTTCTTCATCCTCGGCGGCCTCGCCTTGACGTCGCAAGCCATCCTCGGCGCCACGTTCTTCAAGAAAGCACAGCTCTCCGGCGTGGTTAACTCGCTCGTCTACGTCCTGCTCGGCGTCCTGGCCCAGGCGATTCCCGACCCGCCCACGGCCGCCGTCGCTGTTCTCAGTCTGCTCTTCACCCCCTGCGCCTTTGTCTTCTTCATCAAGTCGATCGCTCGATTTGAGGCCGAGGGCCGGCCGATGAACCTCATCAAGGGACCCCCGACCGGCGCTTCAAGTCTCCCCGGCATCGTCCTCTGGATATTTCTCATCATCCAGTTCCTTGTCTACCCCCTGATGGCAGCCTTTGTCGAGCGCCAGATCCACGGCGTCGGGTCCGAGAGTCGCAGGATCTACAGAGGCGTCGGGCCTCAACCACAGGAAGCAGTCTACATCAATGGGCTTACGAAGATCTACAAGCCAAGCCTCTTCCGCCGCATCTTCTCCTTCGTCTCGAAGCCCCGCGAGCCAACTGTCGCCGTCAACAACCTCAGCCTCACAGCAAAAAGAGGCCAGATCCTCGCGTTGCTGGGTGCCAACGGCAGCGGGAAGAGCACGACCCTCGACGCAATCGCTGGCATAAGCCGCTTCAACCAGGGCAGCGTGTCCATAGACGCATCTGGCGGCATCGGGATTGCCCCGCAGAAGAACGTTCTATGGGACGAGTTGACCGTCATCGAACACATTCGCATCTTCAACCAACTCAAGTCCACAGGGTACACGACCGGGGGCGACGATATGGCACAGCTGATTGACGCCATCGGGCTCGGTTCCAAGAAGAGCGCCCAGTCCAAGACCCTGTCCGGCGGCCAGAAGCGCAAGCTGCAGCTCGGTATGATGTTAACCGGCGGCAGCGCCGTGTGCTGCGTCGACGAAGTGTCCTCCGGCATCGACGCCCTCTCGCGGAGGAAGATCTGGGATATACTGCTAGCTGAAAGGGGCCGGCGGACCATCATCATGACGACGCACTTCCTCGACGAAGCTGATCTCCTCGCGGACAACATCGCCATTCTCTCCAAGGGCAAGCTTAGAGCAGAGGGCTCGTCGGTTGCGCTCAAGGATTCTCTTGGTGCCGGCTACCGCATCCACGTCCTGAACGCCAAGAACGTCAGAGTGGCCCCTGAAGTCCACGGCGTCGACTTGAAAGTCTCATCGAACACGATCGTCTACACTGCGCCGTCGTCTAACCTCGCAGCAGAGGTCATCCGCGCTCTCGAAACAGCTCGTCTGCCCTACAAAATCAACAGCCCCAACATTGAAGACGTATTCCTCAACGTCGCCGAAGAGGTCCAGGGAGAAGATCTGCAGTCCCGGCCTGCGCCCGGGGCCAGGTTCTCCGACGACTCCGGGCAGATCACCGAAAAGGGAATGGCAGACGGCGGTCGTAACTCGCTCGGTCTCCAGTCGGGTCGTCAGACTGGCTTCTTGAAGCAGCTGACGGTGTTGGTGTACAAGCGCGTCACCCTTTTCAAGACCAACTGGGTCCCTTTTGTGGCTGCTTTCCTCATCCCCGTCATTGCCGCAGCCATCATGCAGATTCTCATCAATGATAAGCCTGCGTCGAGTTGCACCCCCACAGACGGAAACGGGAGAGCAACGAGCGGGATGTACGATGGTGTCATTGAGAACATGCGTGTCGCTGCCGGACCAGCTGCGGCCGTGGACGGAACTGCATTTACCTCCCTCGTCGATGTCTTGGCTCCGGGATCGGACAACTTCACGTTGAACAGCGTCTCATCCGAGGCTAACCTGCGGGACTATGTGGACGATGAGAGGAAGAATCTCATGCCTGGAGGCTTCTGGGCTTCCAACGATAACGGACCACCGACTGTGGCGTGGCGAGCAGACACGGAAGACTACAAGGCCATTGCCGCCGCCGTCGTCTCCCAGAACCTTCTCACCGTCGCCCTGACAAACACCAACATCGTCACACGGTACATCTCCTTCGACAGCGCCTTCGGTGCCGCAAACATCGACACAATACAACTGGCCATCTTCTTCAGCATCGTCCTCTCCATCGTCCCAGCCTTCTTCGGGCTCTACCCCAACGTCGAGCGGCGTTCCAACGTCCGCGGTCTGCAATACTCCAGCGGAGTCCGATCACTACCCCTCTGGACGGCTCATGTTATCTTCGACTACGGCATCTTCGTCGTTGCCCTCATCATCGCGGCCGTCATTTTCGTGGCGACGTCAGATGTATGGTACGCTCCTGGCTACCTCTTCCCGGTGTTCGTCCTCTACGGACTGACATCGATTCTTCTCTCTTACATCTTCTCCCTCTTCATGAAAAGCCAAGTTGCTACCTTTGCTGCCATCATGGCCTACAACAGCGTGGGCTTTGCCATCTATCTTATCGCCTTCCTCTACATCCTGACCTTTTCCCCGGCTACGGTCAGCGACCGCAATATCTTGATCGGGCACTACACCGTTGCGGCCTTCTTCCCCGTCGCCAATGTCTGCCGCGCCATGATCATCGGCCTGAACACGTTCAACTTAGCCTGCGACAGCACCGCTTTCTACAGCTATCCCGGCACCCTCAACGCCTACGGAGGCCCAATCCTATACCTGTCCCTCCAAGCCATTCTTTTGTTCTGCGTCTTGCTGTGGCACGACAGTGGTAACAAACTTCCCGCCTTTCTCAGGCACAAGAAGACACACCAGACTGAGGGCGAGCAAGCCCACAGCGACCAAGAAGTCGCCAACGAACTTGCACGCGTCGAAACAACCGGCTCAGACGACGGCCTCCAAGTAAAGCACCTCACCAAGAAATTCGGCAAATTCACCGCCGTCGACAACGTCACCTTCGGCGTCCGCCACAGCGAGGTCTTCGCCCTGCTCGGCCCCAACGGTGCCGGCAAGTCCACCACCATCTCCCTCATCCGCGGCGACATCCAGCCCAGCAAGAACGGCGGCGACGTCCTCGTCGAGCACGTCTCCATCACCGACCACCGCGCCCTCGCCCGCTCCAACCTCGGTGTGTGCCCGCAATTCGACGCCATAGACTCCATGACCGTCCTCGAACACCTGCGCCACTACGCGCGTCTCAGAGGCATCGCGGACGTCGAGTACCAAGTCCAAGCCGTCGTCCGCGCCGTCGGTCTGGACGCCCACGTGAACACTATGGCACAGCATCTTTCAGGCGGCAACAAGCGTAAGCTCTCTCTGGGCATAGCCCTCACCGGCAACCCGTCCGTGATCCTCCTCGACGAGCCGTCTTCTGGCCTCGACGCGGCCGCGAAGCGCATTATGTGGCGCACCCTGAGCACCATCGTCCCGGGCCGCGCGATCCTGCTTACCACGCACAGCATGGAAGAGGCGGACGCGCTGGCCAACCGCGCCGGCATTGTTGCGCAGCGGATGCTTGCCATCGGCGAGGTCGAGACGCTGCAGGCGCGCTTCGGGGATTCGTTATACGTCCATCTTGTTAGTCGCACCGCGCCACACTCGACGCCGGAAGAGATGGATCGCATGCGCGAGTGGGTGCAGATGATGTTCCCCGTTGCGAGCATCGAGACGGCCACATACCATGGGCAGATGCGATTCTCCGTCTCTGCGGCCGACGTGCTTGCGCGCGTGCAGCAGGTTCAGGAGACGAGACGGCGCGAGCCAGGGGAGACGGGTGGGCGGGCGGAGAGTGTGAGTGCCATCGGTCAGTTGATCCTGATGCTTGAAGAGAATAAGGATGCGCTGGGTATTGAGCACCACAGCGTCAGTCCCACGACGCTCAACGATGTTTTCCTGGCCATCGTGGGACAGCACAATGTCCAGGAGGAGGGATACGGGGCTTCGGCGACGGGTGCAGAGAAGAAGAAGATTCCTTGGAGGAAGATTCTGCTTGGCTTCTAAGATGGCTGGTTTTCTTTTGTGGTGTAACCATTGAGAGTGTAAGAGTGTGTGTCTTAGGATGGGTTTCTCCGGAATAGCGTGTGCTTTGGCTAGATTCCCCTTCTGTATTGTATTGTTCTTTTCTCGGAAACCATTTGTTGAATGAAGGACGGTCGCAAGATCTCGATAAACCGCATCTATATCGTTCTTTCTACTGCTTTTTAGCACTCCCGATGATCAATGTCCACGGAGGGCCACGGCAGCCCACGGCGGTCCACGGCGATTCAATCGGGATGATAATGCTGGGATTCGGACGCTAAGCCCTGAGACGCGAGTGTTGTTGCCTTGGAGTCAGCTTATCAATCACCGCATCTCCGGTTGTTCGGCCGAATCGCCAGGCTCGACGATCCCGCGCGCGACACATCCCGCCGCTAGACCCGAGCCGTACGGGGCCGCATTTTCATCCGCTGCAGGTTCCCGGCCAGTGCCATGTGGCTTCTCTCACATCCGAAACCGAAGGAATGTCGTCAAACCAATTCCCTTGACATTAATGCTGTATGATCTCACTGATTGCTCAGCGCTCGTTCATGTTCGGAGCCCGATCACGGATAAGCTGCCTAGACGCATGGTCCCACATTCGGAGTCATCTGGTTTAACCCGCGCCGTTATGACCCGGTGCCAATCCGCGATATGGTCTTGCGGCTTGAATGTATTGTGGTCCTAACAAGAGATCGACGTTTTGGATACTCATGCGATTTCAATGCTACTCGGGGCTTACATGGTGAACGGCTCAGCGTCATGGCCGCATGGTAAAGTCGTATTGATGACCTTGCTACCAGTATCGCGGAGGGATGAAGCCCCGGCTTGGTCACTTCGAAGATTCAGCCTTGATGTGGTAATCATAAGTCTGATGAGATTCTAGATGTCGAGAGAAAAGCCTGTTACTCACCAAAAATTGGAAGGTGTCAATAGCACTCACGTCGACATGTATAAAAGGACCGCTACGGGATGGGTCAACTGAGATTATCTTCTCGACACCATTCAACTCACTCTTCTTCCACCAAGCCTTACACTCAATATCAAAATCAGCTTCTTCATCCATCAGTCACTATCAAACATGTCTGCTCCCATCAATACATCCGAGCCCTGGTCCCTCGCCGGCAAGACGGCCGTCGTCACCGGCGCCTCCCGCGGCATCGGCAAAGCCATCGCCATCCACCTCGCCCGCAAGGGCCTTACCAACATCGCCATAACCTACGCCGCCAACCAATCCGCCGCCGACGACACCATCGAGAAGTGCCGCGCCCTCGGCGTCAAGAACGCCGTCGTCATCAAGGCCAACGCGCTCAACCCAGACGCCTGGCCCGACGTGATCAAGCAGGCCCTCGGCGCCCTGAAAGTCGACACCATCGACATCCTCGTCAACAACGCCGTCCTCGCCAGCATCGACCACTACAAAGCCACGCCCGAGCTCAACGCCGACAACTTCTCCGCCGTCATGGTCGCCAACGTGTACGCCCCCGTGGCGACCACAATCGCCTACATGGAGCACGCGGCACCCAAGGCCGGCGGGCGCGTGATTAACATCTCGAGCGTGGCTGGTCGCCTCCCCAACGGGAATCCCATGATTACATACGGCGCGAGCAAGGCTGCGCTCGACAGTTTCACGCGCTCCTTTGCTGATCAGTTTTCTTCTGAGAAGGGTATCACGTTCAACAGCGTCATCGTGGGGCCGACTCTTACGGATGCATTTGAGGAGGTCACAAAGTCTATGCCGAAGGAGCTCAAGGATAAGTACATCACAGAGACGTCTGCTGCTCCGAGGTTCGGAGAGCCGGAGGATATTGCTTACATTGTCGGGTTCCTTGCCAGTGAGGAAGGCAGATGGGTGAATGGGGCTGCTGTCAGCGCCAATGGCGGATTCAGGAGCATGCTTGCGGCCCTCGGTTAGAACATCATCAGACCACAGGCGGCCAGATTCTATAACTAGCTGACTTTGTATCACCTTGTACTCTAGAAGCTTCATGTTTCCGCTCAAACCGTATCTGCCGGGAACCGGCGATTTTAGTACCGCGTGTGCGCGATGGCTCTCCGTCAAACCCCGCTTCCGCGCCGCGCTCACGCTCGTGGCATGATAGTTCCCCTTCCAAATACAAATAAGTATCTACCTACTGCTACGATTTTTTTAATTTAAACTCAGTGCTTTCTCATCTTTCATTTCAGCATGGAAATTTGTTTGACTTTGTTTCCTATGTCATTGCATTGCTCAGGATAACAAAGAGACATATTGTCAACCGTAACGCTTGGGTTCCCTTCCAATTTGGGCGTTTGGAAGACGGGTAAGATGATGTCTTGATTAATCCGCCCTAGATATGTATGTTATTCTTTGTTTCCCAACATCCGCCAAGTTCTTTTCACTGAGTTTAGTTTACCTGTGATTGTTGCCTCCCTCCCCATGACAGACTGTAAAAGGGGTTTGCATGAATGTTTGGACGCCAGGGCTCGCGCTACATACGCTGGCCAGTCCTTACTATGAAGTCGTTGAGTCGTCGTTTGCACTTTCCTAAAACTTCAAAACAAGCCAGTCAATGAGTTTAAGTGGCATTATTCCTCCCAACTTCATTCGTTTATCGAAGAGTTACAGCAGAATACGCAGAGTGGGTCAGTGCAAACAGAATACCGGTACCGCATGCAGGTTGCCGCTTGCCTCTCTTTCGAGCCTGGTCGACCTGGGAACTTCCTTCCCTTCCAGACGCTTTGAAAAAACTTCTTCCTTCACCTTCCAAGCAGCAAGGTCAACACAGTGAGTTTCATCCTCCACGCAGAGTTTGCGATGCCCGTCGGCTTCAATCTCCCAGTTCTCTGAAGAAACCATGACCAAATTTTACTGACACACACTTGCAGATTATTTTTGCGCGGACCCGACAACCTGCAAACGCTCAACCCATCAACCGCTGCCCTCGCGCAGCTTGGATCACGCGATGATGGATTACAGCGACCTATCCTCCTCGTACAAGCGGTACAAGCTCAAGACCGCTGAAGCCCTCGACTGGCTCGTCCTCGAAGCGAGCAAACTCAAGACTGCAATCACTTCTCCCCGCCAGTACAAAGTGTGGGAGTTGGTGGATCTGGCCATAGCATGTGCAAACGCTGGGCGAGTGATGCCGAAGGAGACGAGGAAGGCGCTGGAGGAGTCGCTCTGCCTCCGCCGTCGATGTGCGGAGTGGTTTCTACAGCACGGCTCAGAAGCCGCGAATGCAACTCATACCTTTTTCAACGAGAGCCTTCAGAAGATTCTTGATGCCTTTGCTCATCCCAAGCCAGAGGCGACTCGACCCTCCGCCTCCCCACCCACGAGCAAGTCCCCCTCCGCGACGCTGTCGGACCGAGACACATCCCAAACCAACTACTTCGCCATCCTCGCCGACGATGACGACGTTCATTACCAATCCTCTGATGAAGACGTCTCTGCTGGTCTATCCACAGGCAATGGTGTGACCAGGTCAGACCGAGCCGCAACCAAGAAGACATCACAAGCAGAGCATGGTTCCCAAGAGGCCGAACAGAGTGGCTGGGTAGCCTTTGATGACGACCAGTTGATGGAACTCGGTTGTCTTCTCAAAGATTGCCGCGATATTCGTCTTTTCCTGCAGCGGCTGTGGACAGGATATTCAAGCTCCAAAGTCGACCTCGTCACCGCATGGCTTGTAACTCAGGCAGGCTTCCAGCATCTCGTTGACCTTGAGACCGTCTTCATCCAGAAGTACCCTTACCTTGACAACCTGGAGTCAATGTCGAACGCCATGTACTGTTTCTGTGGGCTAGGACAGAGCTCCTTCTGGCCCGATAGTGCGGCAGAGGGCTCAAAGCGCTGGGATGACAAGACTCTCCGGAACGTCGACAAAAAGCTATGGCTGTCGGAGTCAAATATGAAAGACTGGCTGCTTTGCGACGTCTCATTCATGTTGGAGAACCTAGACAGCGAGTCGAACCTAGAAGCTAGAATCAAGGACGAGCCCTGGAGCCTTCCGGAGATCCCACTTTTTCAAGTGAAAGGTCTCGAGCACCGGAGGCTCTATGATCTTCAACACGAGTCTCTGGCAGCAGGAAAATCTGTGGCCTGTCTCGACCTTCTCACATCCCGCCTGGTCTCAGAACCATCGAAAACGACAGGCTCTCCCGTCCTTCTCAGCACGGCGGCAATGTGCAGGACCTATCTCGACATCTTGAACATACCAGACTTGATGTCACGGGTCACTACAGACCTGGTGAAATACCTGAACTACAGACCATTGCAAGACGCAAGGTCTTTCGCCCGCCTCATGACGCAAGCTGGCAACGAAGTCACGGCCTGGCAACATTACCGATTCGCTCTGCTTCATGGCTCGGATGGAAAACCATTCATCCAAAACCCGATCCTCCTTGGTGGCCTTCTCTGCAGCGTGTCAGTTACGTCACATTTGGCGGAGACTTTCAGTGTCAGCTATTCCGGATCCCTCATGGCTGTCGCTCACCAGTACAACGCTCTTCGCATTTTGAGCCTCGATACTGTGCCTCGTTGGAAGGATCTCGAAGTCTTGATCGAGTTACAGAAGGCAGCCATCTTTGCTCCGGAGCCACCTCAGACCTTTGATCAATGCATCATTCGGTTTTGGCGCTCCCAAGGGCTCAGGCTGAGCGAGATCAGAACCAAAACCACTACCGCCGACCGCTTGGCTTTAGCCGCGCAGAGGGTTGTCCCCCTGCATCGTCACCTCAAGCAGATCTCGAAGACCGACCTGACTCCTGAAGACATTAACAAAGGTCTCAACTTCCACATCAAATGCGAATCACAGAGGAATACTTTCGGGTTTCGCAGGGAGTTACGCGGCATCCCGCTGCTCGAACATCTCTTTTACGCCTGGGAGAAAACAGGGATTTGGAAGCTATCACTCAGTGACAGGGTTGTGAGAAGCGCTGTCGAGGCTGACCTGGGAAAACTTCGCGGTTCCCAGGCTGGAAACCGTCCTCTCAGCGCTGTGGACCTCCCGGCAGTTGTCTGGCTTGGCCAGTTGCAAAAGATGTTTCAGCGAGAGACACCTGAGATGTTCTTTGACTATGCGTATCTGGAACGCCGGGTCATTAACCAGTTGTGCAAAGATAGCGCGTCTTCTGACCACGTTGCAAGATTCTTTGAGAACCCTGACCGAGGACTGTCTCAGTGGATGAGCCACATGTCCAACAAGTCGAACCTCGCGGTAGTCTCCGATCATTGGAAGGCTTGGTGCAAGTAAGTCAATCTGATTTGAAAAGCGTTGAGACCTCGACTAACTCATCAAAACCAGGGAACTGGGCATGGTGATTCCTTCTAACATTCTTTGATGCGCTGGGCAGTTCTCATACATGCTAGCACCCACAATTGGGCCTAAAATGTTTCTGTCTTTTTAGTTGGTTTAGCAATGAATGATTTGATTGAGACAGAAACTCTCCTTGAATTGTCAGCGACTCCAACCCCCTTAATCTATTTGATATTGAAAGTGAGAAACTCTGAATCTACCGCCCTTTCAGAATGGAAACTATCCTCGGCCTCAACTTGAACGTAGTATCATCATCTAGAATGGACATCCAAATTAGTGAGAGGTCTTTTAGTTTCTTTTAAAAATGCTAGGTCTCGAGTAAGCCTTTGTGACGACAAAGCGGCTGGGTCATTCGGGACGTCATCGTGGACGTCACCTGTTTTTGTGAGGCGATATGTTACTCTGTCGTTCTCAGTCCAGCAAAGGTGCCCTTTACCAAATGACACAAAGATATGTACATCTCGTCTTGAAAGTCCAAAGCAGGTTGCAGAGAGCATTGCTTTTGGCGAAAGAGGCTACCTCATCTTTCTGATCCAATGCCACTGCTTTATGTCGCCTATGTTCTGTTGAGATTACAAATATGCAAAGCACTCGCTCTGTGCGATATTATAGCTTGTCAAATAGGCAGTCTAGATTCTTAAATTTCGCTGGTACATCATAAAGCCAGCTTTGATTTAATTCCTAAATCATGAAAGTCACCCAAGTCCGGACCTTGCGAAAGCTCCCGCAAAGTCAAAGACTCAAGTCGATCCTTTCAGTTCAAAGATAATTGACGTGCGGCTCTATTTCTCAAGCACCTAGCCGACAGCAGATCACTCGGAGTTATAGGAATTTCCCAGCATTTCGATGACATTGAGTCCATCGGTCGGTTGGTGGCTATCCGTACTGGATGTTGAGTGGAGTATGCTTGCGATGGACGGTGCATTAGGGAATTGGATTGTTGTGGCTTGAACAAGTTTCAAAAGGAAAGTTTCTTGTGTTCTTGTGAACAAATGAATACTAATAGGTTGACGGAAGAGGAGAGGCTTGGCTATCAGGTGTTGGCTTGTGAACTGAAGCCGACCTATGACTATCCGGTGTATCATGTGAAGCTCGCGTTTGAAGCGGGAGAGGAATTCAGTGGGTAGAACACAGACGGATAAGGTGGTGAAGGGACCACAATGGTCGCAGGGGTTCCGAGTCTGCTATCTGCTCTCTTAGCTATTCCAACATATCTCAAATCAAGCCTTTGATAACTGCGAGAGAGTTTTGAATGAAATGAAGCATACCTATACTCTCTCAAATAAATTGCTCTTTATTTCCAGATATCCTTTGCATGATCTCACACAACACGATCCAATGGCGTAGGTATCAGAAATTTCTCTAGTTGCCTTCATGCAGACCCTGTAGAAACTTCCAGGCCACAGTCTGCATAACTCCATTGGTGCAGCATCAATGACCGTTTCCCTCTAGGTAGATTTCATATACAATCACAAAAGCAGCCTATCTTCGAAAATCGCACTTGCGCTGGTCATTCTATTGCACAAAGAAGGGAAGGAATCAACCAGAATGATACTTCTGGAATGGTCTTTGAGAAGCAACTTCAGCTACAGACAAGGCAACTTGGTAGTATTTGTATCGACCCACCGTCTCTGTCCGGCCGGCCGATGCGGTCGTTGTTCTCGATGAACCATTTACTTTTCCCCACCATCCGAAATTGGCGGGTCACCAAAGCTGCAACGCAAGATGGCGAAAAGACGTCACCACAAGAAGCCCGGCAAAAAGCCTTCATCGGTTAAGCAGAGGACCAGAGCCGGCACGCAGGGACAGGTCAGAACCTTGAAGAAAGCTCAGTTGCAACCAGTGAGCCGATTCCTCCAGCTTCCCCAAGAGCTTCGAGATCATGTTTACGACTTAACTGGGTCCCTTCCCAGAGACAAGACAGTGGTGGCCAGTGGAAACATTACAATCACCGACCGTTATGTATCCGCGTACCGTCGTATACACATGGGCCGTCACTATCCGCTCACTACTCTGAAGCGTCCCTTGCTCCAGGTCTGCCGACAGATACAAACAGAAGCACTGGACTACATCGGTCGACACAATCGTTTCGTCATTGATGCTCCGATGCTATCGCACAAGCCCACTGCCTGGAGATCGTCATTCCTCCACCCCATCTTGCGGTCAATTCGACTCCTCCGACTGAATGTCAAAGACCTTGCATTAGGTGACGACGGACCCAGCCTGATTGAGAACTTCTCTAAGCATGCAGTCAATCTTCGGACCTTGGATATCGCCTCATTTGGTCACCTTGGTACCATTCCAAGAGACTTGGCGCTCTCGAGGGTCCTGCAATTGGTTGCGGCAACTCCATCACTTGAAACAATCACCGTGGACGGCTCAGATATGGGCACAGAAAAGCTAGCAAGAGCATTCGAGAGGGAACTTTGGTTTCGAACGCATCTTTGCGTGGAAAACATCGAGTTCAGCAGTTTTCCGAGGAAGAGTTCTGAGGACTTAATGCTACGGGAGACACTAGGCTATGTTTTCCTTGAGCTGTGGGGAGGTCAAATTGTTTTCCGGGAAACGTACGTTAGAGGACAACCCGGACGGAGGCCCGGTCCATACCACCATCGGTATGGTCATGGTAGCGCTCTCGGTCATACGAGGCAATCCATGATGCTAGCCGTTGCTAGGAATCTAATGCGGTCCTTTGCTACGAACCGGCGATAGGAGGCATGTACTTTTTAACGTAGTTGATAACAGTAGGCCTTTCTCAAGACCCCCTCATTGTGAAAAGTCAAGTACTTGTATGTTCTATGGGTACCCACAACTGATGCTCTTGACTCATGATGACCTATCTGTTCAATTTCCATTGCAGTGTCAAGGCCTTAAATTCTCTTTGAATCACACACGTCACACACATCAACACTGTACTGAGAATTTCACGGAATAAGTACGCTTCCAGACTCTGTTTCTTTCGGCATCCAACATGGAAGCTTGATTACATGTAGTCATACATAACGTACACCACCCCAGATCAACTGAAGAAGTTTCTTTTCTTCGACTTGCTCGCATGCTTCCTTCCTGCTGTCGTGTTAGGTTGAGCTGCGGGTGAAGCGGGGATTGGAGCAGCGGCCGGTGGTGCCATAGCCGGAGCCGCCGGAGCAGCTGGCGCAGCGGGTGCGGGAGCGCCTGCAGGTGCAGACGGGGGAGTCATCGCAGGTGGACCAGAAGGGCCCGGCGGCATCAGCGGCAGCTGCAAAGGAGGAGCGCTCAACGACGCGATACCCATTCCGATAGATCCAGCAGCTCCACCAAACGCCATCATGGCTCCTGATAGACCCTCCGCGGGCAGCTTCGAAAGAACAACTTGGCCAAGAGCTCCCGAGAGCATGTTCTGATTCTTAAAAGACTGAATAAGTCCGGCTGTCGCTCCAGTCTGATCGAGCATCGTTCGCTGTAGCATCGTGGACATGACCATAATCTTTACACTCTTGGCCAGCGTCTCAGCCGTCTGCTGAAGGGCGATTCCATCGGTGATCGAGATCGGCTGGGTGGTGGAGATATCGGTGCGTGCTTGAGCCAGAGCATTTTCCACTCCCTGCATTGCCGGTCCGAGGGCTTGCGTGCTAACCGGATCACCCGATACACTCTGATATCTGTTAGTTCGTGTTCATGTTCGTTGAAAGATCTTCAACACTTACCCGGACTGCAGCATCCAAATTCGACGCTGCTACGGAGATAAGTACGAACGAACTTTGGATGGTTCGAACGTCCTGTCCATTTTGAGCGACAGCTAACCCCAACTTGAGCATGAAAATGCTCCATGTGAGAATAGAAACCCTCATCCTCACTGCGATCGCTAACCAGAGCGAAGAAAAGCAGAATTAGACAGAGAAGACCGAAAAGCAAAAATTGAGAAAGAGAACCAAGATAATTATCAATTCAACTGCGAACCTTGCCCAACTCCCTGAATGTCAGGTTTAAGTTGAGGCTCATACAAGCTTATAATAAGAGCCCAGCAGATGTGACCCAATTTTTTCTCTGACCCGCATCCGAGTGACATTCTTGGAAGAGCTTGCTCCAGACGCCTCAGACCTTGGGACGCCGAAGCTTCCGTTGCCGTTGGCCATCGTGAAAGACAACGGATAAAGTCGGGGCCAAGATCTTTGATCCAACAGCGCAAGGTAGTGGCATGCTCGGACCCGAATCCGACCTGGGGCCAATCCCATTGAGGGTGTTACGGAGCTCCGATGGGCGTCATAGATGAGATGAAACTGTTTCCCAAGGTGCCGTTCGCTTGGACACCTGCCACTTTTGGGAACTGACAGGAGACTTTTGTTAGTTTGCGGAGCCGGTCTGTGCCCAAGCAGTATCGTTCCAGTGGGATGGATTCATACAGGCAAAAGAGGTTAGGTGCCCGTTCATGCATTCCCAGAATCTTGGGTCGATCTCCTCGCATGGTGCATGTTTTTCCGAACTTTTCGTTCGTATGCAAGAAGTGAGGCATTGTGCCGTGGTCTAGATCTGCCAGATGATGTCAGTGCCGTTAATTGCCCAATATCGGCAGTGTCCCATCGTATCACGGGGAGGTGGTCCGAAGGGATGACACGAGCCCGAGAGAGCGGAATCACTTGCAGCAATGTCCATGTGTCGGCGAAAACGTGGTGTCTGCATTCGTTTAAGCTTCCTCTTCTCTTATTAAGCCTCAGCTGCCAAAGCTGTTCGGTCGTTCAAATGAAATGAGTTTTCCTCGTAGCCTTTTCTCGAGTTGTCCCGTTGGCATAGAGTTGAGTGACAGGTGGTAGATAATCCGACTACATGGCATTTCTCTTCGAGTCACAATATTCTATTGAAGTTCAATCACATTTTCAATCCGTAGTTTATATCACTGATCAATCCTCTAGCCACAGTGGAGGCTGACACATAATGAGGTGCAAAATGCGAACCCGACGCACGTGGGCTTGTGCACTTATCTTCGTGTTTGGTGTTGTATTACTTCCCATTTAGGACCCTGAAGCCCAATCTCCACTCTTTACGGAT